CAGGGCATGAATATATATTATAGGATTTATTACATCAATATATGACTATTTGTGACAAATTTCCAACTCACTCTGATATCTATCATATGCTGGGTCTTCGTAGGCTCGTCGATCATCAACAGGCATAACTCTTGCATCTATCTCTGGTCGTCCCCTTGGTGAATAGAACTCTCTTTCTCCTTCATACTCCCTGCCACCACCACGTACCACTACTTCTCTCTCCCTTGCAAATTCATGCTCTCTTGCATAGCGTCCTGCAAAATGAATATAACATATGAGAAAAGTAGTATATCACATGTGCAGATATTTTACACCACATTTTTTTGATGATCTAAGTAATACAAACCTCTCCTGTCATCCACTTCTCTCATTCTCTCTCTTTCACGTTCTTGTTCCCGCTCCATCAGTTCTACTCTCTCCCTTTCCTTTAACAGCTCTCTATCCCTCAACTCCCTCTCCCTCAGTTCTCGCTCTCTCAGCTGCTCCCTTTCACGATCTTCTCTTCTTGGGTCATCACGTCGTCGTTCATCATAATGATCCCGTTCATGCCTGTAAAATGTGAAACTTTTTTTTTATGGCCATTATTTTCATGCATTTCTATAAAGTACCACCACAGACTAACAACTCACACAAAACCTCTACTTATAATAAGGAAGACAATCTCTCTAATTTTTGGAAAATCTTACCTGTCATAATCTCTATGTCGATGAGGATCCTTCCTTTCAACTTCTCTTGATCTTGATATGGGAGACCGACGCTCTCGGCGCTGTTCAACATATTCTTCCATTCCACGCTCCTTTTCATATCTCCGACTTGGTGATTCTGCTCTGCTACTGGTAATGCCAACAAGTATATTTATATAACACCAGGACAGTGCATTAAACACCAAAAAGTGATATGGAATATCTATCATGAGTACTAAAACAGTTATTCAGTATCACAAACCTGTATCTGTCCCTTCCTATCTGCTCAGGAGACATTCTACGCATTCGGTCATCAACTCTCGGATCTCGACCACGTGATGAACCCGCATGAGATCCAAGGCTAGGGTCACGCCCATGGCTTAGGGATCTCTCTGGTACAGCCATGCGGTTGTCTCGGTATTCTACACGCTCTCTAGGAGAGTGTGACCTCTTTCTACCTGCGAAATGAATGTCACTATTCTATAAAATTCCTAGGACATGTTTTTTTTTCTTACTTCACTAACAAAATTATTCATGAAAATATGTAGCAAAAATATACTTCTGTAGCACCCAGTATTACTGTTTCTCATATCAAATGATATCACCACTCACCATTGAAGTAATAATTTAAGTCTAATATTAATACATTAAACATAAATCTTGACTAAAGTTATATAACATCAGTAATGTAATAGTGGAAAGCCATCATCTATCTTTCCTATTACTACAATCTGAGAGGCATTTCATAAATTATGTAACTTAACAACTAACAAATACTAATAATAATAACAATTAAAAAAAAGTAAAATGTCCCATTATACTGTTACTTGATTTTATTAAGCATTCAGAAACTTAAAGATAATAATGTAACTGGCACAATATGTTGACGTATATATACTTACTCTTACTTCGTTTAGAGGATCCAGGTGATATCTTGTGTGACTTTCTGGAACTAGGAGAAGGTGAGCGTTTGCGTCCAGGAGACAAAAGTTTCTTGGACATGGAACTCTTCCTTCTGGTGGGTGAACGGCTAGTCTTGTGACTCCTAACTTTGTCATGGTCCTTCTTACTAGGGTGACTCTTCTTACTGCTTTTGCTACTGCTATGTTTTCTCCTGTGAAAAAATATTTGAATCAATATCACCTGACCAGCTTTTGGAAGATCGATTCACAAACCAAAATGGATAAGAACAAAATAAAGATTCCTTATATGTAATAAATATCAAGAAGTATAAATAGATTGAACAAATCAAAGCTTTTTTGTAATACTAAGATAACTCACGAAGATGATGCTGACTTGGTCTTCTTAAGCTTGGAGCGGTCGCCTGAGGGAGCAACCCTTTTGCTGGGTCTTGGCTTGCGCTTTGTGTCCCGCTTGTGGCCAGGTCTGTGAGCTGATGTGTCAGTGGAGGAGGAACTTGAAGATGATGAAGTTGATGAGGAAGTGGATGAGGATGAGCTGCTACTGGAAGATGAAATGCTTCTTCGATGGCCATGCTGACCATGCATTTGCTGTAAAGAAATATAGGGAACATATGAGTTATAAATCATTTTCAACACAATTAAATCATCAGCAAGGGAAAGATAGATAATTAGAAAGTTTTTGTTTGTTAATGATAATTTTGACATATATATACATATATATATATATATACATATATATATTATATATATATATATATATATATATATATATATATATATATATATATATATATATATATATATGTATATATATATATATATATATATATATATATATATATATATATATATATATATATATATATATATATATATATATTTATATATATTATATATATTTATATATATTTATATATATTTATATATATTTATATATATTTATATATATTCATATATATATTCACATATATTTATATATATTTATATATATTCATATATATTCATATATATTCATATATATTCATATATATTCATATATATTCATATATATTTATATATATTTATATTTATATATATATATTCCCTTGATGCTGGATAGCTGCTATGAATGTTATGATGATTTTAATGAGTCAAGGGGACATCTGTGGAAATCACCATGTTTAGAGGCTACCCAATAGCAAGGGTATATAAAAACAAGATTGGTAAAAATTTGTTCACCCATGTGCAAAGAACTGTTACTAACCTTCTTATCCATAGCTGACATATGGTGATGCGAGTCACCAGCCATCTCACGCATCAACTCCTGCGTCAGCTGTTGCCGCCGACGCTCTAAAGCTACTTCACTTTCCTCTTCTAGCCTTCTCAGGTCCCACACCTCCGACCCCTGAGTACCAGGTCCACCTTTACCAACACTGGGGCCGTGAGAAGGAACGAGGGGTTTGTTGCCCGGGTAAGGAAAGCTGCCTGGAGTGTTACCACCACTCTTAGTCTGTGACCCTGCATTACACAAGGCAAAACTTGGTGATTTTTATTTTGGAGAAAGAAAGAAAGAAAGAAAGAAAGAAAGAAAGAAAGAAAGAAAGAAGAAAGAAAGAAAAAAGAAAGAAGAAGAAGAAGAAGAAGAAGAAGAAGAAAAAAAGTGTTCAGGAAACTGCCATTCCTACCAAGTATAAACTAACACACACAAACAAAAAAAGACTAATTCATACAAGTATTAAGCCAACACTTTTGAGGTGAATGATTCCAAGATATATCTGAGGCCTGATGATATGGTAAGCTACAAGAAATAATATATATATATATATATATATATATATATATATATATATATATATATATATATATATATATGTATATATATATATATATATATATGTATATATATATATATATATATATATATATATATATATATATATATATATATATATATATATATATATATATATATATATATATATATATATTCCATGAAACCAAATTCCTCATATATTAAGGAAAATTGCTAGGATGAAGTGAACATTTCTTTATAACCACTGAAAAATGAGAGGTCTACTGAGAGAAGTTTTGCATACAACTTATACAGAGATTCTGAGAACTTGTATAGCCCTCTTTGGATATAAGAAAGCTTTAAAGTATGCTATGAGACAAAAGAATTCTAAAAGGTATGTAAAATTGAGCAGAGATACGACAAAGACCTACAATTACACATGAGAGTACAGTCCTTATAGCTTCTTCGCAACAGCAATCTATCTCAGAATTTCTCGATAAAGTTTATTACCTAATATATCCATGTTTTGCTATAAATATTTAGCTTAGAACCGACACTTATAAATTGTAATACCTTTCAGTAGCTATTAATTTCATTTACTGCTATTAATGATGGGCATATATCAAATATTAAAAGTAATTGAAGTAAAATATATAAACAAAACATATTGCTTTAAATAGACTGTACATATCAACATTAATGTTTGCCTTTAAATAGCAGCAACATTAATTATTATATGCCAATAATATTTCTGTGTAACTTTTAAATAATCTATAAGCATTACCTCTGTGATTGTTGTTGTCCTTCCCAGCTTCTTTACCAGTTCTCCCTTCTTCTGGGAGATTCACCTATGGAAGCAGGTACACACTCATTAAAAGAATGTTTACTTTCACTTGTTAACAGGATTCACTAGTAAAGTTAGAATATGCTTCCCAACCCATGTAAATAACTGTCTAGTCTTGGCAAATCTACTTCACATTCTGATATATATCATAAGAACCCTTAGAAGATTTTAATAAAATTAGACAATTTGGAAATAAACATTATGATAAAAAGACCTATACAATACAAAAATCCCCAATAAGGATAAAAAATGCAGTTCCTTTTAACAAGGACAATCTGAAAGTACTGTGCATTACAGAAAAAGATAAAGCAAAAAGCTTTGTTATCTCTGGGCAAAAACAGTATCATAATACAATGACAATTACTAATTGGATGATTGTCATTCGAATAGTATCAGTAATGCAAAAAACATTATACAACATATATATCCTTGACTATGGTTTTCAATGGATGAAAAACCACAAAACTCTTCTTTTCTAATATTACAATAACAATGCTAAAGACATGGGTATATTTTTGTAGTAATGACCAATTACAGATTCCACTAAAGAATACTGACTTTTGATTCTCTGTTGCTGAAAAAATAAAGGTTTTAACAGAACAGGAAATCATGCATTCAGTCATTCAACTACAAGACAAAGAGGGTACATTGTATATATGGGTATATGCATCCAAATTACCCAAAAATGCAATAGTTGAATATTTTGTTAGTTTGAACTTTTATCTTTGGATGTGCCATGCCTTCTACAAGCTGTAGCAAGTAAAAGAAAAATTCTAGGTAAACAAAAATAATATTGTATACTCAATAGTGAAAACTATTCCTTAAAATTATGTTTCATAAGATGATCTACAGAAGCTTATTTTCAAATAAAAGCACATTGTACAGTAAAATATCTAATTATCTTGAATTTAAACTTTAAGAAATTCAAAGAAATACTTAACTCTGTCACTCATGAACAGTTTAATATAATATTTGCAATATACATTGCTTACACATAGTACATATGTACAGTACAGAGAAACAAAAGGTAATAATGATAACACCTGAAGAATCAAAAAAAGAAATTGGTCTAGAAATGAATGCATACAATTTTTTATTAATGAAATTTCATAAGCTCCAAGAAACCACTCTAATCTAAACAATAAAATCATAATACTTATACAACACACACACACACGCATACACACGTACACACATGTGCCCCCCACACCCCACACACACGTGCACACACACACACACATGTGCACACACACACACACACACACACACACACACACACACACACACACACACACACACACACACACACACACACACACACACACACACACACACACACACACACACACACACACACACACACATATATATAGACAGGTGTGGTGTGGAGAGATATGTGGGTGCGCACAAGCAAGAAAAAAAAAAGGACATGAAGAGTTCCCCAAGAGATGTAATCCATGCAGAATCTCTGAAAAATAAAATTATGTAGCTTCTTGACTCATGTACACAACTTTTGGTTGAAAAATCTTTCTCTGTCAAGAGGCTAAACAATGTCATTTAGCTGACAGTAGTTCCCGTTTTAAGCAGAGGCCAAAATAATCATTTCCACTAGCTCAGGGATTGGATGCTGCCCCACCTTTGCTTGTGGTGGTTTCTGTGCTTGCCGCTGCTGTTGCTGCTGCTGTATTTGTTGGTGGTCCTTACAAGGAGTCTGTTCTTGTGGCTTCTTTGGGTGACTTCTACATGTGCCATCAAGAGCAGCATTAAGGGAAAATCTCCAAGTTATTTCTATTCCCTTAATTCATTCTGCACTTTTAGCACTAACAGTTTTAAAGCATTTGTGTACTATCTTCATTAAATACTGGATAGAATGAAGAGGAGGCAGAGAAGCAAGAGCAGGGGTAGATGTGGAATGAAGCAGCTAATACAGAAATAGTTCACTAAGACCATGGCATGATGGAAGAAGAAGAAGAAGAAGAAGAAGAAGAAGAAGAAGAAGAAGAAGAAGAAGAAGGAAATCAACGTCTAGATGATCTAGTATTATAAATCCACTCACAAACATACACTCAAGGTGTGTGCTTTTTTGACTTACCAATCCTTTAAATAGTCAATGCAATCCTGAGTCTATTCTCTTACAATTACTTGGTGGGGTAGCTTTTCATCATTTAAACAACAGAAAGAAAGAAAGAAAGAAAAAAGGTATGGTATATGTGTTCTTATCATTTCCACTATGTCCACCTCAAATTTCTGCAATTTGTAATGGGATGCCATTTTTTCTCCGAAATGTCATAAAAATGATGTCACAAAATAACATCATTGGTGACTGCAGTTTAGTTGATCTTAAAATTGTACTTGACCTATTATTACTATACCCATTCCCTCACATATAATGAGATTCATATGTACAGTACAGACTTTGTTGCAGTAAACCATCATAAGGAAGTGGCCTGAATTTCTTAAATCAATACTCATGTCCTGTTCATTACAGGCATGTAGTAGAGATTTTTTTGCTAATTATCATCATTCGAGCCTAAACAGTTTCAGATAATCAAAGGCCTGTATGCTTTGGAAAACTTTATGGTACTTTAAATTTTCAAAAACATATATATCATGGGAACACGTTCTAGTTAACCCAAAACCGAAGGGCATGGCATGTACGTACATGCCATGCTCACTTTCAGCTTCCTTTATTAATTGCTTTTACACATAGATGGCTCCACTTGTACTAACTTACCAATGAGACAATTATGAGTAATACTTGGCTCACCTGTTTACCCTTTTCCTTGACTTATGAAAATATTTTATGTAGTCTTTTATTGCCACTACTAATGTCAATAACATTGTAGTAATTATAATGTCTATAATAAAAATAATACCATCAATATTCATAGCATTAGCAAATTCAAGGAAAGGTGAAATCAGGTAAGATCACAAGGTCTACTAACTGACTCCTTTCTGGCTAAGCACTTGCAGAGCCATCTATGTGCAGAGACATTTCACAAAAGATTCTAAAATTAGCATTTTCCTGATGACATTGGGTTAATACAATAGTTCCTCTCTGTAATATGTCCAATAACAGAGCTCCTTATAAAGACTGTAGCTTAAAATGATAAAATGTTGATAATCTTCTGCCTATAGAGAGAAAAATACACACTTACATTCCCCTGTCTATCTAAGAATATAATTTGCTATTCTTATATATGGGTTTAAAAAATATACAAATAGTAAAATATTCATTACCTAAGGTTTATCAAAAAAGAAACACAATATATATATATGAAAAAAGTGCTGTGCCATGCAGTCAAGTGAAATTCGCATAGTACCACTGAATCTAGGAGACAGCCATGTTTCAAAAGTTTCTGCTTAGATAATGGTAAGGTCCATTGGGGTTGCAGGGGAAAGCCACCAGCGGTTCACATTGATTACGGTGCTTTAAAAGGCTAAAAAGTATAAATTTTATCACTGGTATTCAAGTAGTTTCATAAAAACAAATACTTCCAGCTTGATAGTTAAGTATTTAGATCAATATACGATGACTAAAACCCAGAAATCCACAAATGTGCTGAAAATTCCTATCCCTGAAAATAAATTATATTACAATATTCTTTCTGCATCAAGCCATTGGCTGACCTGATTCTATTATTACCACCAGTAGATAAAAAAAAAAAAAAAAAAATTGTCTGTATATAGCCTCCTACTATAAAACATCTTACCATACAACTGTACATGTCCACTCCAAATTCAAGAGGACAAAATCAACTGCAATGGAAACTGATTTCCAATTAGACAAGAACAACAGAATGCTACTCTTTTATCATCTTACTTGTTTACTTCAGCAGTTTTTGTCCTTGGAGGCTCTGTAGTTGCAGTTTTACCCAAGTGATGTGTCAAGCTAGATCGCGATGCTCCTGATTGTGTGTGGCTTGAAGCCCTTCGAGGGTCCACTAATGGCATCATGTGCACAGCAGCTGAAAATTCATGTCATCCATTGTGAGAAACTTTAATCAAGAAATCATAAGAAAATTTCACTTTTAGCTATAATTGTGAGAGAGAGAGAGAAAGAGAGAGAGAAAGAGAGAGAGAAAGAGAGAGAGAAAGAGAGAGAGAAAGAGAGAGAAGAGAGAGAGAGAGAGAGAGAGAGAGAGAGAGAGAGAGAGAGAGAGAGAGAGAGAGAGAGAGAGAGAGAGAGAGAGAGAGAGAGAGAGATAAGGATAAGTCCGATTTGCGAAGCTGAGCCTCGCCCGGGCTATGGGGGGAGCCCGGCCTGTGCCGACTAATGTCGACTCGCTATCAGTGTGTCAGCAGATGCTGACTCGGGTGAGCTTAGTCCTTACCACCGTGGTGCCCAGCCACAGCAGTAACCTCCAGGTGACAATTGCAACTTCTTGCGCCTGGGCGGGGCACGAACCGCCGACCCCTCGGATGAGAGGCCGACACGTTACCACTGTACTAGCCCGGAGGCTGAGAGAGAGAGAGAGAGAGAGAGAGAGAGAGAGAGAGAGAGAGAGAGAGAGAGAGAGAGAGAGAGAAAAGGGGGGGATAGAGAGGGGGAGAGATAGAGAGAGGGAGAGATAGAGAGAGGGAGAGATAGAGGGAGAGATAGAAAGAGGCAGAGATAGAAAGAGGCAGAGATAGAAAGAGGGAGAGATAGAGAAAGAGAGAGATAGAGAGAGGGAGAGATAGAGAGAGGGAGAGATAGAGAGAGGGAGAGATAGAGAGAGGGAGAGATAGAGAGAGGGAGAGATAGAAAGAGGGAGAGAGCTTTGGTTGTAAGCTAAAAAATAAATGAATAAATAAAATGAAGGCTGAAATGAACAATCTGAATTTGGCATAACATATTCTAGGCAACTGAATATCTTGTGACTTAAACAGAAATTACTGTAAAGTAACCGAGTCATAATGCTGCAATTAAATTGGCACACTTTACTATGGTATGCTTTTAAAGAATTGAATAAACATAGGATAGAAGCGTAAGCAAATGAGTTATAATTTCCACAATATTCAGGGTTAAAGCTTCAAATTGTGTGTGACAATTAAGGAACAGAAACGTACCTACAACAAAACCTCAGACAACAAAAGGGAAGATGGGGTAGAAAAAGGAAACAAGAAGGGTTAGAAAAAGGAAACAGGAGAGGTCAGAAGGGGAGGAGAGCCGAGAGGAAAAAGGGGAAGAGAAGGGGAAAGGGAAGGAGGAGAGGAGAAAAGAAAGGGGATGATTGTAGCGATTATCCAACCCATAGATTTTAATCTGAACAATTTTCTGTTTATTCAAGCAATGAACGGAATTCTTATTGAGATCTTACCTAGCAGAGGACGGCCTTTGACGAAGCCATCCTGGATCAGCCGAAAGCGATAGTCACTACTGCCTCTTCTTCTCTAATTCTGGCTCTTGCTTTGCCCATAAACACTGGTTTACTTAACAAAGTAAAGATCTGTCACTACCTTCTGTCTGTTGTTTTGTTCCTCATTGTATTTACTTAATTGTCGTGGTCCTTAAAAGGGAGATCATCGATTCAGTCAACAAACGACAAACCTTCCACAGACTGACGGCGATTTCCAGATAATTTAATAATGACGATTTTTTTAGTTTGTTAAGTTTACAATCTTATGTGATAAATATGGTGCATTTGTGAAATATGAGCTTTGAGAAAAAGGCTAAAAATAACAGAAATTAACTAAAACATATAAAAACATATAAAAATTAGACATGTTATTGTCGGTAACCTATTTTGTACAGTACGATGATTACGAAGTCGCGTCACTGAGACTGGTATCTAATTTTAAAAATATATTGTTGTACTGTTTACAGACAGTCAAGAAATAATAAGTATGCGTTGTATTAGTTTGTCCTGAGTTTTTTTTTTTTACCATATACTGTACTGTTTGATATGTATAATGACTTTATGTATATAATGGATGTGCGTGTACTCACACAGATATATATATATATATATATATATATATATATATATATATATATATATATATATATATACACACACACACACACACACACACACACACACACACACACACACACACACACACACACACACACACACACACACACACACACACACGCACACACACACGCACACACACACACACACACACACACACACATGTATATATATATATATATATATATATATATATATATATATATATATATATATATATATACACACACACACACACACACACAGATATGTATAAATATATGTATGTATATCAATATATATGTATACATACATATATTCATATATATAGACATATATAAATTTACACAAATGTGTATATATACACACATATATAGATATAAATATATTTACTTGTATACATATGTATGTGGGCTTTCGTGTGTATGTATTCATATATATACACTATAAGTCCCCACCGCTTCATCACTGGATCATCTTCATGTTGGTATTGTTGTTATCACTGCTATTATCATTATTGTTACTTTAACTTACTAAACAAAATACCCAAGAAAAATCGGTGTTTAGTGTACTTATTACGAAGTCTGAAGGCCTCTTTTGCCTTTAATTCTAGGAAGACAAATGTAGGGGAATTCTGATATGCTTGAATCTGTGAATGAAACGTGCGTATAATATATCAGTTCGTATTCACCATAACTTTCGAAGACAGTTAGAATGAATCTGAGTTTTGATTTGGGTATCGACCCTTCTTGTCAAATTTACAATACCCAATAAAGTATTCAAGAGCAACTGTATTGTCGAGAGTGGGCCATTCGTGGCAGCAGGCTCCTCGCATACGCTTGACTTCATTTACGGTTTAGACTGCTGCCATTATTTCCTTAAAGGCAAAAGACAGAATGATAATACAGATTGTAGTAACAGCGAACATTGTTATAACAATCACGGTGACGATGATGATTAACTCTAATCAGCGTTCCCGCTTCACCTCTCCATATTAGAATCCTTTTCGACGACCATCCTGCCCAGACATCGCACTTGATTCACCTTGATTCAACTGTTTAAACTCGATCTCCCTTCAATGAATATGACACTCCAGAGGGCGGAATCAATGATAAAATTCTCCAGGAGCAAAATCCCGAAAGGTGCCGCAGGGACTGATTGTGCACCCGCATAAACTACCCCGTGAAGTCGTCAAAGACAATTCAGGGCGCAATAGTTCTAGACACAATATTCTTGAACTAGCAGAGTCCTGACATAAAAGTGGTCTGGCTCTCCCAAGGTCTATACCTATGCAGAGCTCAAGGTACCCTGGGCCTCGTTTTCCATTTCCACGTAAAACACTAAATCTACGTGGTGTTAATTCCTACTACTATTTAGCCATCGACCTTTCCGCCTTCTACACTAATTAGGCTACCTTTAAGTTCAAGAGTATGGGATCATGTTGTAAACTTTTATGCAGTTAACCCATGCCATGGTCAGATTCTTGTGTTCTCTCTTGCAATCACTAAAGATTGTCCTATCAAATAGGACCTGGTCTTTAGTCCCTCGGATTTTCCGCCTATAATACTTTTGTTCCACTGGCAGAATGTTATTAGCTTCAAGATATTGTGCAGCGCATTTGAGATAACCCCTTCTGTGGGTCTTTCTAATAGAATAGGCTCCTCTTTGTCCGTTATGCTGGGATGGTTTTCTCGCTGTTTATCATTTCATTCATTTGCCTGACAATCCTATCATGCTGTCTCAGTCTTTTTAACTCTGCATACCATCAGGGCCAGAGGCTTTCCAGTAAGGGACATTTTTGACTTTACCTACTATCATTTCTACTGTTATGACTATTTTTCAGAATCACGTTTGCCATTACTTCTAATGATTCCTTTAGCCTTTCAACATTCCGTTGCGTTCAACTTTGTTATAAATTTCCAACCAAAATCTTTGCTTTCTTCCGCAGTGTTGCCTATGCTTCCCATTTAATTTTAGAAAGACTCTTTTATCTAGCTATTCAACCGATATTGCTTTGCCATCTGTTCATATAATTTCAGTTTCGCCAAGATGGTTCCTAGGTCTAATGCTTAGTTCAGACTTCTTTCCTCTCTGTGTGGGCTTCCTCAGAACAAGCTTATTTGCTGTCCATACACTCGTTGCCTTGGTTAGGTTGTTCGTCTCAAAGATGTCATTGGTCTTACGTTCTGAACCACTCTATTGCCTTTCGCAGCAGCTACTCTCTTCTTTGAGAAACTGCTTAATTTGGCTGACGACAGTCCTCTCTTTCGTTGCTATGTTTAATTTTTCGTACCTGCCATCTCTGCTTGTTAATTATATGTTTCACCCCCGTTTTTCATAATCCTTTGCTGTTTATCCCCTACTATCATCACTGTCTTATCCCTTCAAACCTTTTAGTTCAAACCATCTCAGCATTGCTTTGTTACAATTATTATCATTGGTATCATAATAGTTATTAATAAGTAATTTGCTTTATTACAATTATTATCATTAGTATCATAATCATTATTAGTAAGTAATTGTTTACGATGTGACCGAAGTTCTTATTACTCTTATTACTCCAGCCGCTCCTGGGAATCCACAAGCATCGCCTTATGAGCCCAAAACCTTCCTGTCCCGGGAGTTTCGCCCTTAGACCCTCTCACCCGAACGCCATACTACCCAATCCCACCTGATGATCGCCTTCACCTTCTCTCCCAGTGGCGTTTGACGCGACCTATTTTCTTCTTCTCAAGCACTATTCATATCCTGTGCATATTATTTCATAGATCAATGAATGCATTTTTCTCCCTTCTTAATTTTCTTGCGGTCACTTTATGTAGACGTATACTTACCATCATCATCATCATAGCATCATCATTGTCATTATCATCATCATCATTATATCATCATTGTCTTTATCATAATCATTGTTATTATCATTATCATTATTAATGGTTATTATTACTATTAGTTTTATTATTATAACGATTGTTATTGTTATCATTGTCATTATCATTATTATTGATATTATCAATATCATCATTATCCTTACTGTTGTTATTATTATTATAATTATTATCATTATCAATATTATAATTATTATCATTCTTATTTTTATTATCCTCACCATCATTATTATTAGTATCATTATTATTCTTACTAATGATATTATTATTACTATTGTTATTATTGTTATAATTATTGTTTTATTATTATATCACCATTATCATTATTATCATTATCTGTTATCATTATTATCTATTATTATTATTATTATTACTATTATTATTATTATTATTATTATTATTGTTATTATCATCATTATTGTTTATATAATCATTATTATTTTATTATCATTAGTAGTAGTAGTATCATCATTATTACTACTACTACCACTACTACTACTGTTGTTACTATTAGTATTATTAGTGGTATCATCATCATCAACTTCAGCATCAATATTATCATCATAACAATTATCATCATCATCATCATCATCACCATCATCATCCTTATTATCATCATAGTTATCATTGTTATTATTATGATGATTATTATTGTTTATTAATAATAATAACAATAATAATAACGATATTATCATTATTATTATTATTATCATCATCATCATCAGTATCATTATTATTATCATCATTATTGTTGTTGTTATTATTGCTATAATAATAATAATAATTATTATTATTATTATCTATATTATCATTATCATTATTAATGTTATTGTTATTTCTATTATTATAAGTATTGTTATTGTTATCATTTTCATTATTATCATCATCATTATTATTATTATCATTACTATCATTATTATTATCATCATTATTATTATTACTATTGTTATTATTGTTATAATTATTGTTTTATTATTATATCACCATTATCATTATTATTATCATTCTTATTTTTATTATCCTCACCATCATTATTATTAGTATCATTATTATTCTTACTAATGATATTATTATTACTATTGTTATTATTGTTATAATTATTGTTTTATTATTATATCACCATTATCATTATTATTATCATTATATTATCATTATCATTATTATCATTATCATATAATATAACAATAATAATAACGATATTATCATTATTATTATTATTATCATCATCATTATTATCATTATTATTATTATTATTGTTATTATGATCCTCATCATCATTATTATTACTATTATTATTATCATCATTATTATTATCATCATTATTATTATTATCATTATCATTATTGATACTATCATCATCATCATCATATTACTATTATTATAGTTATTATCATCCTTATTATTGTTATTTTTATTATTATTGTCATCATCATTATTATTATCATTATTATCATTATTATTATTACTATTATTATTATCATCATCATCATCAGTATCATTATTATTATCATCATTATTGTTGTTGTTATTATTGCTATAATAATAATAATAATTATTATTATTATCATTATATTATCATTATCATTATTGTTATAGTAATAATGATAATTATTATTGCCATTCCCATTGTTATCATCATTATTATTGTTATAATGATAATAGTAATAATAATTGTTATTATCGTTTTTATTGTCATTGTTATCATTATTACTATTATTAATTGTTATTATCATTATTATTATTATTATTATTATTATTATCATTATTATTATTATTATTATTGTTGTTGTTATTGTTATTATTATTACTAGTTTTGATTATCATTACTAGTTTTAATCACAGCCTTAAATGATCGTGTATGGCCGTTTTTTTTTTCTTTAACATCAAACAACGACCCGTTGCCTTAGATGTTAAGAACGTGACGCAGAATTCTTGCAGTTCCTAATAGGCAAGCTTTTTGTAAGATATAAAACTGCAGATCTTGGCTGAATTGTGTAAGCCATGAATGAAATCTTGTAGAGATAATGCCAGATAGTTCCCATTTAAGTTCATCATAGCGGTCAGTCTTTTCTCTTTCTCCCTCGGGGACCCTGTGGTCAAATGGTCAGGTGACATCGATAATGAGACGTTCGTTTATCCTTGTTGTAGGCGATGATATCTGGCTTATTGTGGGCCAGTTCCCTATCAGTTTGAATGCGCATGTCCCAGAGGAGCTTTACGCTTTCGTTTTCGACTATAGCCTTTGGTCATACCATTTCGCGTTGTGTTCTAGGTTATTCTCTTTGCAAAGCTGCCAATGTATGATCTGGGCTACTTTGTCGTGCCTCCATTGTTTTACTGTTTTTGCGCTTTCCGCACTCAGAAACTATATGAGCAACAGTCCCTTCGCGTTCGCCACAGATTCTGCAATTGGGGAAATATCAACTCTATCAATTCGGTGTTGTATTGATCTTGTCCTTGATAGCCTGTTCTTGACCAGCCATCAGTGTCCCCTCTGTTGCCTTCTTCAAATCACCCTTCCTCAACCACTCCCAACTCTTCACGCCTCTGAATTCGGTTGCTTTGAAGAATACACTGTGAAGTTTCTTCTCTAGAAATTTACTCTTTTTGTTGGTCAAAACAGTCTTTTTTACCCGTCTGATGTACTCTTTTCGAACATTCTCTTTCATGATCTTATCCTTTATACCATCTGCTTCAAGCACTCCTAGGTACTTGTATCTTTCCTCGATGTCGATCTCTTTGATTTTGTCTGCCGATGTTAATTTTATGCCATCACTTTTGTGATGGCGGCTTTTTTTCATCGCAAGTACTCTACACTTCTTGATACCAAATTCCTTCCTGATATCATCACTGAAGATTCTTACAGTATTCATCAGGGTGTCGAGTTGTTTTTCTGTCTTCCCAAACAGTCTGAGATCATCCATGTACAACAGATGATTGACTATAGGGCCGATGTTTGGAACTGGTACCCTGCATTTACCTTTCGAAGGATGCGAGGCAAAGATATTAGACAGATCGCAAAGAGGAGCGGGGAGAGACTATCTCCTTGGAAGACACGTCTTTTTATTCTTACTCTACCTAAACATTGATTACCAGATGTCAGTTCGGTCTCCCAGTTTTTCATACTATTTCCTAAAAGGCTTCTGATGTTGTCCGCCACCTCGAGCATTTCGAGACATCTTAAGATCCAGGATTGGGGTATCATATCAAAAGCCTTTTTATAGTCTATCCAACCCATTGCAAGGTCGATCTTCCTTCTCTTACAGTTCTTTATTATGGCTTTGTCTATTAACAGCTGGTCCTTTGTGCCTCGTGATTTTTTTCGACAACCCTTTTGTTCTTCTGGTAAGAGGCCGTTGCTGTCAAGGTGGGAATAAATTTTCTCCGAGATAATGCTGATGAAAAGCTTCCACATTAGGAACAGACAGGTAATTGGCCTGTAGTTGGTGACCTCGATTCCCCTAGTTTTGTCCTTCATACTGAGGACTGTTCGTCCTTTTGTAAGCCACTCTGGGACTATTCCTGATATGAGGGAGTCATTAAACATGGCTGTAAGCATAGGGTGGATGGATTTGACGTTTTTAATCCAGTACCCTTGCACACCATCTGGCCCTGGTGCCTTCCAGTTGGAAAGCTTGCTTGCTTGTTTTCTTAACATCTCCAGTGTTATGGAAAGCTCGTCTTGCCTCTCAATATTCTGCTGAACCTCTTTCTCAACACTCCTTTTCCATTCTGCCCTTTCATTATGTGAGACATCTTTTTCCCATATACTTGCCTCAGCATCGGGAATCGCATCTTCTCCTATCTCAATTCCTTCCAACTTCTCAAAGAGTTTTTTTCTGGTTGTTTTGGAATAGGCGGTTTTGGTGGTATTGTTCAATCCGGTTATCATATATTTTTTTTATCTCAGCCTTAGCTAGAATTCTCTGCTTTAATTCCTCAGTGACAATCAACATCCCCTTCTTTTTCATTTTATACTTCTCATAAAGCCGATCCTTAGTGTTGTCGTTCTTGAGCATGTTGTTCTTCAAGCTTTCTAATTTACTGAGGTCCTGTCTAAGAGTTCTGATTTGCCCATTCAAACGTTTCTTCCACCAAGGTTCTTGCGTTTTCTTTAGTTGTTTCTTTACTATACCAAGTAGCCTCATTACTACACATGTAGATGCTTTGAGTATCCTATTGCTCTGTAGGGGATCTTGAAGATCAAGATAACGTACTGTTCTGTATACTTTGGCTGTTGCAGTTTTCAAACTTTTTCTATCATAAAATCGGAGGCTTATCGGGTCTTCAATGACCTTTTTACTTAACTCCTCTTGTAGCATTCTCATGATCCCGCTCTTTTTATCTCCTAAGCCATCTGCTCTCATCCTTTCCTCTACATTTTCAGTAGGTGCTTCGGAAGCTACTTCAACATCAACAGTCTCCTCGTTGTCAACCTCTACATTCGACCGTTCATCCTCCTCTCTACTGTTTCTTCCGTTCTCCCCTTCGATTTCGTCCACTTCCACTTCTCCGATACATTTCTTCTATATTTCTCTCTTAATTTCCTCAAGTTCATTATCTGACAGCCAACTGTTTGTTCTTATTACTCTAGCTTGCCCAGAAAGTTTCTGCTCAGATAGATAAAAAAGGCCTTCCTCTTTCCAGATGTTATGCATCCTTTTTCTGTGCCCTCAATTTGACGAGTCACTCTTATAATAACATTTCATAACGCTTTTATTCATTTATTTTGTCCAATTGGTTGTTTGTTTTTCTGCGTGACGAGGATTTCGTGGGATGACGACCTGAGAAGCCTCGCTCCTTCCCCTGCCGGACATGGGACGTTCCCACCCCAGCGTCGGTGTTGTTTGAATTATTTTGCTCACTCATATTATAGATATCAGGATGGTTTGTGTAAAGTTTTCCTTCCCTAGTATTTTTTTCGAGATACCATCTCTAGGTGAACTGCCAACCAAGGCTGAAGCGCTTCCACCTACCCATGAGACAGACGAGCCCCTGCCAGATGCCAACCCGGAATTTCTAGGTCTCGGGGAGAGCTACCAGGTGTTTCACCTTGCTCAGGGGTGACCTGGAGGTAGTTGTGGTAAAGGGTAACCTCATTATTCCAAGTCAGTGACTCCACAACCGGATGTAGTTTAACGTTATACTCAGGATGAATTATTATTATTATTATTATTATCATTATTATCATTATAACTATTAATAATAATAATAATGATATTATTATTATTGTTATTATTATTATTATTAATATCATCATTATTATTATTATTATTATTATTATTATTATTATTATTATTATCATTATTATTATCATCATCATTATTATCATCATTGTTATCATTATTGTATTAATAATATTATTAATAATAATAATATTATTATTATTGTTATTATTATTATTATTAATATCATCATTATTATTATTGTTATTACTATTTTTATTATTATTATTATCATTATTATTATTATCATCATCATTATTATCATCATTGTTATCATTATTGTTGTTATTTTTATCATTATTATTATCATCTTAATGATAATAATAACTGTTGTTATCGTTTTTATTGTCATTGTTATCATTATTATTATTATTACTATTGCTATCATTATTATCAGTAACATTATTATTATTATTATTATTATTATTATTATTTATTATTATTATTATTACTATTATAATTATTATCAGTATTATTATTATTATTACTATTATCATTCTTATCATCATTATCATAATCATTATCATAATCATCATCATCATAATTGTTATCATCATTGTTATGATTAATATTATTATCATTATTATTATTAATACTATTATTATCATTATCATAATCATCATCATCATCATTGTTATCATTACCGTTGTTATTATCATCATTGTTAATATTAATACTATTATCATTATTGTTATTAATACTGTTATTATCATTATCATTGTTATCATTATTAGTGTTATTATTAGTTTCACCATTATCAGTACTGTTATTAATATAAATATTATTGTTGTTATTATCATTATCACTATTATTATTATTATTATTATTATTATTGTTGGTATTTTTATCATGATCATTATAATAATAATAATAATAATAATAATAATAATAATTGTTATTGTTATTATTATCATTATTATTATTATAGTAATTACTATCATTATCATTATTATCTTCATTATTATTTTTCTTGTTATTATTATTATCATTATTGTTATTATTATTAAAAATATTATTATTTTTTGTTATTATTATTTTTTTGTTATTATCATTATTATTATTAGTAGTAGTATTGGTATTTTCATCATTATTATCATCATTATCATTATCATCATCATCATCATCATCATCATCATCGTTATTTAAAGCAATTCATTACATATATATATATATATATATATATATATATATATATATATATATATATATATATATATATATATATTACAGATATCACAATCATATTTGGTTAATATTGTTAGAGAAGCGTTCTAACTCATCTGAGACTCAGTAGGAACTACAACAGCCTTATAGTATAAAGTACGCACTATATACGAAGAAGTAATTTTCACGTACTATAGAAATTTATCAATTATAGGAATGCGATATTGCGTACATCTTGTAAATTTTGAACCTACGTACGCAACATTGATTCTTCAAAGCGCTTTACTTTTCTGTTGAATAAAAAAAGGAATAATATATGATATATGATCAGTTACATGGGAACCTGCAAGTAGTAAGAATGGAAGAAATACATGTTATTGAAATGTAAGAATTAGAAGATGTAACACCCATGGCCAAGTAGCAGACGATGCAGACGATGTTATTATGTGTGTTGTAGAGCGAATGTAAACAAAAAATCAAATCTTGTCATTTTGTCTGTAAATCACGGTGGGTGCAGGCATTTCCATTAAGATTTTAATCCCACCGTCAGACGAGGAAGAAACAGATACTGGAAAATTGTTTATTCATTGTGAGGTGGAATAGAATGGAGGGTGCAACTTACCAGTGATTTGAAGGTTTGTATCGTCGGTACTAAATTTTCCTTTGTATTTTAACATTCCTTTTGTTTACTAATTGCATCTGTATATTCATTACTTACTCAAGTCATTATTAACTCATTTCTCCATTGCGTGTATTTACTGGTACATGTGTACATACATAAATTTGCAGGTTATGGTTGAACTGGGGTGCCTTTTAATTTTATTAAAATTTAAGCAAATCGTGGCCAAAAACTATTGGCCTCAATCCATAAGCCAAGTGCACAACAAATGCATTGTGCTATGAAGTAAAATTTATTATATAGTTTAGGTTAGCAAAGGCCAAAGACCTTAATTTGGCTGTCTTGCCTTTTGGATCATCTTCCAGCTTGGAAACAAACAGGCTCTCCAGCACAATAAATTTGTTTGTGTTCTCCCTAGTTTTGTATTTGTTTTTACTAGTTCATCCTAAGTAATTATTGTCCAGAACATGGAAGAATAGTCTTGTAGTGGATAATTGTTATTCTTTGCCAGAGTTTCTAGTATGCAACAGATACTTGCCAATGTACCGCTGTCAAGTTGGAAGTCAGAGTGTAGGATTTCCATCACAGATAATAGATTTCAAGTGGGAGTGGATAAAACAAAGCTAAAATGATAATAATAAGAAAGTATCATTGCTAATCTGGATTAGTGTTTTTTGTAGGGCCTAAAACAGAAGAAATTTGTCAAATTATTGATTAGATGAATTATTGTTATAACTTTGTGTATATAGATTCTGTAAAATTTTCCCTGACATGCCAGTTAGAATGTAGAAATATTTTTTTTAGTAATAAAGATGTAATTTGCATAGATTTATAGGGGGTAAAAAAAAAGTCCACAAGAATCTGCATTTGTTAATTTGTAATCAAATATCAACTGGTGGCTGTATTGTTTTCACCATTTTTTTCATTTACTTGCTCATGTCATGCAGTCTCACATTATACATCTATTGGTATATCATAGGTATTGGAAGAATTTCAGTTCAATACTGTATATTATATGTTGATATGGTAGAAGAATTCATCTTCCCCGCATGTATAAAGCCAGTTTGACTTGTCAATGCATATATGACTCGTTGTGGGGATCAGTAAAACAGAGTTGATGCACTTAACTATGTATTGAGGAGGAACTGGTAGTACAACTGAGGGTTGTTTACATTTGTGGGTATAAAGTCTGCCGTTAGATGGCGTACATAAAAGAAAACATACTCTTGTATGGGTAACTTAACAAAAATATAATTTCACCTTAATTCCGGCATTATTGATACATGAGATACTATACTAATAACCATCTTTGATTATTCCAACACCCCCTCTTAATTAAAGATGGGTATGTAATCTGAGAATCTATCCCCAGATATATTTAAAAACTTCCAACTTCTTCTGGTTTACAGGTTTTGTACATAGATCAGCTGGATTCTGCTGTGTAGGAACATAAAATAACTTTACATTACCCTTTTCTACTTCATCTCTAATGAAATGGTAACGAATATCAATGTGCTTTGATCTTTGGTGATTCACAGGATTTTTGGCAAGATTAACCCAATGATGCCGGGTGTACAAAAGGAAAAAAAAACTCTACGCTCTAGCAAACAAAGGCAGCGAGTACGGGATGTCAACCCGAATCACTGGCTCGCTGCGCTTTGGCGCGCCGCTGGCTCGTCACCCGGCACCAAGGGGTTAATAGCACCTTGGTTGTTGATTCCTAAGTCTACAGAGTTTAACTTAAATCATAACTGATCAGATACAATATGTCTTAGGAACTTTGCTTCCTGAATGGCATAAGTAAGGGCCATGTACTCTGCTTCACAAGATGAAAGTGCAACTGTTTGTTGCTTCTTACTTCTCCATGATATAAGTGGTCCATCTTTATGTAATTGAAAACAATATCCTGATATGCTTTTTTCTGTCTTCAGATGATCCCCAGTCTGAATCACAAAATCCTTGGGGTTGAACTGGTTCATCTGACTTTCTAAATGTAAGACCATATGTTATGGTACCTTTCAAATACTTGAGAACATGTTTAGCAGAATTTAATTGAGCTTTTGTGGGTTTTGACATATATTGTGAAAGTTTTGTAACATAGCACAAATCTGGTCTAGTACCTGTCATAATATATATGAGACTTCCAACCATTTCTCTGTAAAGAGAAACTCATTAGATTCTACTGTTGAGGTGTTTACAATACTTGGATCACATGGTATATTCCTTGCATAACAATCTGACATGTTGAATCTGTCTAAAATCTTTTCTACATATTTGGTTTGATTCACCTCAATGTAATCTTTACCTGTAACAAATGACATTCCAAGAAACCAGTTTAGTTTGCCTAAATCAGTCATTCTAAATTTTTGACAAAGAGTTTTCTTACATTTGTTCATTAGGGACATGTTACTGTTGGCAATAATTAAGTCATCCACCCATAAAAGCACAAAAATATCCTTGTACCTATCATACTTTAGATACAGACAATGATCACTTTGTGATTGTTTGAATCCTTCTGAAATAAAGAAATTATGAATTACACTATTCCACATCCTGCCACTTTGTTTCAGACCATAAAGTGACTTTTTCAGTTTACAGTACAAAACATTTCCATCACTATCTTTTTCTTTATACCCTTCAGGTTGTTCTACATAAATTTCATGATCAATTTCAGCATTTAAATAAGCTGTTTTAACATCCATCTGGTGTATCACCATATTTTTATGTACAGCCACATCCAATAAAGCACGAAGTGTAGACATTCTTGCTGTTGGTGCAAAGGTCTCTCCATAGTCAATGTCTTTTACTTGTGAATAACTTTTGGCGATGTACCTTGCTTTGTATTTTTCTCTGTTGTTTGGTCCTGCTTTTACTCGATAGACTCATCTCCCACCTACTGCTGTATGTGACTTAGGTAGTGTGGTAAGGTCATTTGCAGAATTTACCGAGTTATTTTTCTTCCTGGGGTTCTTTGTCCTACATTCACTGGTATTGTGAGTTCTTGACTGATGAAATTCACACCATTTCTTATTATTCTGATATTTGTTTACTCTTTTAAATTCACCACCTTTATTGCATTTTGATGCAAAGTGACCTGGTTCACCACACTTAAAGCATCTCTTCTGGTTAGCTGTGCTGTTGCCATGGGTTACCATCACTCCTTCTGACTCGGGATTTTCTTTAAGGCGATCTTCATAACTTAATAAGGCTGTCTTTAATCCAGGATACTAATATGGAGGGTCACGTTGATTTGCAACATCTACAAAATTCTTGTACTTCGGTGGAAGTCCTTTCAGTGTAGTTGTCACTATGAGGTGATCACTAACACTCTCACCTGATTCTATTGGTGCTGCTACTGTTTCCTCCATGGATTATAGATATTCTGTTACACTGCCTTCTTCAAGTCTTTTGTTTATAAATGTCCCCCATAAGGCATACAATCTGTGGTTTGTTTCTCTCACGTAATACTTTCATAGCACTGCCAAAGCTTTCACGCCATCATCTCTTGTTTCACGTTTTATCATGCCAAGTGACGTTCTGTCAAGATAGCCTGTCAAATAACTGTAGATTGTCTTTTTGGCATCTTCCAGATTATAACCATCTGGGAGTTCTGAAGCATACTTATCAAATGTGTGATGTAGTTTCATAACATACAACACACCGTGAAAATTTTCTTCCCACAAGTCATAATTATCCGCATTACCATCAAATGGCTTGAATCTGGGCCCATAACCTGTTGATATGGTAGAAGAATTCATCTTCCCTGCGTGTATAAAGCCAGTTTGACTTGTCAATGCATATATGACTCGTTGTGGGGACCAGTAAAACACAGAGTTGATGCACTTAACTCTTCTTCTTCTTCTTTCTCGTTATAGGGTTTTAGACAACTGTTGTCTATATCCCCTGGATCTTCTTTTTCTAGGCTTCTTGTTTCTTAAATTATATCAGATAATTTAGTTGTTTGTAGGAAAATCTTTGTGTGTCTTAATATGTAGTACTTTATTGTAGATGGTTGATCTGCACCTGTAATCAGAAGATTAATATCAATATCATTAATGTTTACTTGTCTTAATGCCTCTTTTAATTTTGTTCTGTGAGAGTTGAATCTTGGGCAGTGTAAGAACATGTGTTCTATAGTCTCTTCTTGGTTCTTGCACCATCTGCAGAAGGGGTCATTTACCATTTTCATGCTGTATAGGTGTTGTTTTAGTCTTGTGTGTTTGGTTGTGAGTCTTGTGATGCATGTGTCTAGTTTTCTATACTTTGCTCTGGTCCACATGTTTTTTCTGTGTTGTCTTTGATGAGATAATTTTTTTTGTGCTTAGGATTACTTTTTAAGTTTAGATTCCCATTGTTTGGTTATTTTTTTTATCTTAATTTCATTTATGATACAATTTGGATCTGATGGTATAGACATGGGATTATTCATTTCATGGGCTTTCTTTGCCGCTAGATCAACAATTTCATTTCCCTTAAATGTTTTTGGTGCACTGAACTCTACGTATTGAGGAGGAACTGCGTCGTACAGCTGAGGGTTGTTTACATTTGTGGGTGTTAAAGTCTGCCGATAGATGGCGTGCATAAAAGAAAACGTACTCTGGTATGGTCTTGTAGGGGTAACTTAACAAAAATATAATTTCCACCTTAATTCCGGCATTATGAGGTATATCGTTGATATAAGTATCCTTATACTAATAACCATCTTTGATTATTCCAACATTATATATGATATTAGTGTGTATATAACAGCTTGTTTGTATGGTAAAAATTTTGGTTGGTTTGGTAGATATTTTTCTGTGGAACCATTTTTTTTTGTAATTTTACCAAGATAAGGAACCTATATACAGACAGAACTATGTCATTATTGTATAATGAACATAGTTGTCAATGTGACATAAAATTGAGAAACACTTTAGTTTTGGAGTTGTGAAACTTATAATTACT